GTGTGTGTGTGTGTGTGTGTGTGTGTACAGCAGGTCAACTATCTTCTAATCTTGAAATAACTCCTAGAGACTTTAGTACATGTCAAGATGTTTAGAATAACTTTTTTATAATTCTAAAGATTTTTAAATTAAGCAGAGAGTTTGCTCGCCAGAAAGTCAGATCTAAGTGACGTCAGTACTGGTCTTGTAAAGTTTACGAAATATAGCGTTATTGAAAGTGTGAGATGTAGCGTATGGTGGGAGAAGCCAGCTCACTTTACAAAGTAATTTAAAGATTCAGATATCTGACCGAGCGCTCTAGTTTAACAATATTTAAAGATTTTATGATGACGAGATACAATATGTCTTTTTCTTTTAGATATATGATAATTCAGTTAACCTCAGTGTAAAATTGTATCCATTATGTTGAAAATAATACTTGATTGCTTGATAACGTGACGTCAATTTAAATGACGTTTCGTTGCAATAAAAGTACCTTGACATTAAGGACAGTTGTTGTAAGCATATTGGTTGCATCGAAACCAGTATAGTAACCGATTTATAACTTCCCAGTATTTCTTCTTTAGTTTTGTTTAAATAAATAAAAAAAGATAAAAAAGTGTGTTGAAAGAGTGGAGGTATAGAAAACTAGTATAACTGACAAACAAGAATAGTTACAGGAATGTATGTGATTACTGCTCTTCAACACGAAAATGTCATAGGTTAGTTCGATTGTAATTTATAAACTTCACATAGTATTTGTGTTAGCTAAGCACAGAGTCTATTCTCATTGCTAACGCTTTCTCAGGAGTGCATTACTATAAATAGTAAAAATAATTAAAATATAGGAATACTTTACGTCTACCACAGGTTCAAACCAAAGTTTTTCGAAATGTCAGTAAAATTTAACCTTCACTTTTTATGCTTAATAAATGACCACGATTTCACTCACCACTTCGGATCTGTTCCAACCCAAACCAACACACGCAACGCTATCCGTCTATGCAGATTACAACACTCCACCGCCAGGGCGACAATCAGACTTCCAATAAAGAGCATGTTCGTTTCCTATAAATATTCAATACATATAATAGAATCCACTTTTTTATGGAATAAAACAATCAACTCAAACAAAATCACTTAAATCATAACAGGAACTATTAAATTTTTGGTTACACGATTTGGATGTTTCATTATAATTAATTATTATTTCATACGTTCTCACAAAGATACACAATTTTGAAATTTTAGATTAAAAGAAAAAGCAGCTAGTCAACACCACCCACTGCCAACGCTTGGGCTACTCTTTTACCAACGAATAGTGGGATTGACTGTCACATTATAATGCTCCCATGGCTGAAAGGGGCGAGCATGTTCGGTGGGACGGGGATTCGAACACGCGACCCAAAGATTGCGAGTCAAGCGCCATAACCACTTGGCCATGCCAGGCCGTTTATCTATTGAAAATGATTTACAAAACAATTCACTTGTTTAAAAAGACCTACGACACAATTTACTTATTAATGTCAGGTGCTTATCTAGGAAGCAACCTCATTGTTCTTGTTGTCAACAACAACAAATCTTCCTTTCTCTGTTGTCATTAGGTAATACAAAACAGTGACAAATATATATATTTTTAATTATCATATTTGTTTCGCCTTCCCAATAAAACAAGTCACTAATCAAGAGAACACCACTCAAGATTCTTTCAATATTTTAGTTTCTCACATTGTAAACTGATTTTGTGTAATCTAGAGATTATAGTTACGAAACTGTTAAAACGAGAGTTCAGTCAACTGGGATTTTATGGTAAAACGGTTGTACACAAATCTTCTGTTGTTTCGAAAAACATGTTTATACATTCAGTGGTGCAATGACCACAAACCACAGAGCAGTGATGAAAGAAAAACTAACTGTATAATCCAATACTCCACGTTTTTCATCAAATAGGTTTGTATATTTGTGAAAGGTCGCAAAGAAGTGCCCAATTCATTATCGTATGAGTTACGTTTTGTTCATATGGGCTTGGTCTTTAGTAAATAACCCAAATAGACTAGAAAAAGAAACCCTATAATGCAGTACTTATATACCTGGTGACTTGTGCAAACCTTAGCAAGCGCAAGACTCTAAAAAGCAAGGTAGTTAAATCACACATTTCAGTAACAAGTTGCGTGTTAATTTCGAGGATGTAGTGGTACTTTTGCGAAAGATTGAAATAAGGAATACATCATTTTAATTTCAAGCGTTATTTCTTACTTCCCAATGAACGGTTCCTAAACGCGCGAGGCCCCAAGAAGTCGTTTGTCTTGCTTATACTTAAAGACTAGTGCTGCTCGGTGATGGTGGTTTTTAAGATGCCAGTGCATTTTCCACACTTCGGAAATTTCTTGGAGACTGATAAGCTCCAGTTCGTTAGTCTCATCGAGCTAGTAGAGATCAATCTCTAACTAGACCTTGACATACCCGAAGGAACTGAAAGTAGGTTTGATTGGGGAATGGATTAATGTGCCTGTTGAAAGATTCAACACCTTGCTGTTGTTGAGATTGAATGTTTGCTCTCTCTGAAGATGCACTGTAGTCCAAAACTTGATTAAATTTTTTGACGAGTGGACCAGTGTTGAAAGACTGGTTTGTCGAACGTAGAAAGCTCACATCTAAAACCACTATTCGCCGTCTGACGTCAGTTATGCAAAGTGTAGCTTCAAACGAAAGATCAATGAAATAAAAAGTACTAAACCAAAAAAGAATCTCTGGCAGTGATCAGCAAAACGTTTATCGGAGTTGGCATTCTTTTCTCTCCCTAAATAATGGTTATATATCTTTATGAAAAAATTAACGAAACCTTTGGTGGCTAGGACAATATATTTAGTACTTACTAAAGAAAACTGGGTAATTTCATAACAAATTTGATTCTTAATAATAAAGCAAAACGTGAACGTAATAACATGAAGCATTTATTAAATGTTTAGGAATTTTCAAAATTCCATCTTCAGTAATCTACAGGTACAAAACAAGCACAATTGTAATTAGAACAGAAATACGATACAAGTTGTAATACATAAGAAGTAGGCCTGACATGACCAGGTGGTTAGGGCACTCGACTCGCAATCTGCAGGTCGCGATTTCGAATCCCCGTCCTACCAAACATGCTCGCCTTTTCAGCCGTGGGGGCGTTATAATGTGCAGTCAATTCCACTATTCGTTTGTAAAAGAGTAGCCCAAGAGTTGGCGGTGGGCGATGATGACTAGCTGCCTTCCCTATAGTCTTACAATGCTAAAATAGGGATGGCTAGCGCAGATAGCCCTCGTGTAGCTTTACGCGAAATTCAAAACAAACAAACATAAGAAGTAAACAACTTGAATGTAAAAATTATAACAAGAGACAATGAAAAGTATGTAGCACAAATGAAATAGTTTAATTAAAATATATTTAAATCAAATGAAGAATGTGTATTATTTAGGGATAGAAGAAGAAGAGTTTTTATGTACAATTTGTTATTTTTTTTTTATTAGAAGTTCAGTATCATCTTTGGTTGTTGATATAATTTTAAAGTTAGAGAGAGAAATCGCACGGCCTGTTTCTGTATTGTCGTGGTAGATAGCGGAGTTGGGAGGATTTGTAACATTTCTTCCAGTTTTTATAGATATGCCCATGCGTTCACATGATCGTACTTTAATTAAGGTGAAGTTTGGTTTCACCAATATAGGCGGCCCTACAGTCTCTGCACGTGTATAAGTGGACGAGATGCGAACAACGAGTAGTCGACACACGATCTTCGTAACGGAATTTTTTTTTTTAGTCTGAAATTAGGTTTAAGAATAACTTTCAGGTTAATTTGAGGATAGTAAGAGTTACATATTTTTTTCAACTGTTTCGTGATAAGGGAGTTCTTTCTTCAAAGTTATTTCATCAAATTTGTTGCAAAATATATTTCTTATTCTTTGCTTTTGAGATACCTGATAATGACCTCAAGTAAGCACTACTTTGGGAATGTAAAATTTCTAGCTGTTACCAATCTAAACTCCTCTGTGTTCTCATTGGTTTGTAGGATCTTAGTGACCAACATGCTAAATTTACTGGGTAACTGACGGACTTTCGTCTAGAGAGTTACAACTATCACTGGCCTTATATTCGAGTTATTCTGCTATCAACTGACATACTTTTGAGTGAACTTAATATCAGTTTAAAGGTAAGGGGTGCAATACGAGGAAAGTTTGGTTCATTATGAGGCATTATGGGAAATGTGTTAAGATTCTTCCATATAGTTCCATGCGATCTTTTAGGATCACTGCCTAATGTCAAGTGTAAGCTTCAGAAGCTGAAGTATGTGTGCATGCGCGCGCACGCATGTTTGCATGTCAAGATAGTTTTCGAGCTACTCCATTAGACTTACGCCCCTGGCTTGGTCGGAGAAAGCAGTCTTGTAAATAAGATTTTGCTTTAGATTTTTAAAGTCTTATAAGCTAAACAGCAAGTGACCACAGAATACATATATACATACTCAAAGAACTCGTGTTTCCTGACCAAAAGGTAAGTTTCCTTCGTTCTTGAAAAATCTTGATGCTCACTCAGCTTCAGCTATTCATACTTCGCAAATATTACTGCGACCTCTATCAACCTATACACATTACTGAAAATACATACATTTACATCAACATGCATTGCAAGCCATCGCTGAATGCATTCAAAGTTGTCAGGAACTTACCTGAAGATATGGATAGCATGCTTTATCAGTTGTTATTACTTGTAGTAGCGGAAACAATGCCACAGGAAGTAATGCTGTCACCGCTAGGGGGAGGGGCTCTGTCATCCAATAGACGGCCATCAATAGCACGACGTAGGCACATCTAGCCTCCTGCAATATTCAGATATAAGAAATATAATATAATTTTATAAATAATTTAACATTTAAAACTGCAGCGTAAGTCTCTAAATTAATTTTATTTATTTTTCAAAATATCGTATTCCGTACCAAAACTTTATTCTAAAGTCATCATGAACACAATCGATGAAACAGCAGGATAAACTAACTTACAACGCGTAGTTCATAAACGTTGCAAACAGTGTGCACACCATACACAAGTACCCAAGTGTTGCTCCTCTTGTAACGAAGTGGTACATTCATGTACGACTAAAATTATCAAATATGTTTCAATACTCAGTATTGTGCAGAGGACATTGAAAGGGCAGGGACTCATTGAAAAATAGGGCATTTTTCAAGCATCGTAAAACAAGTATTAGAGGAAACTATTGGGGTTGTGGGTTGCCTCTGGTACACATAGGGTAAAAACCATGGAAACAAACCGATCCTCTTTTATTCCCATTCATTTGGTCTTATAAAAATTTTTACTATCTAAATATAAACAGCGAACTATTGCGTATTAACATTTAATAGAATACGATTGTATTTTTCAACTATAAAGTCTCTGAGTGCTATTCATTTTAGCGCTGAAAGCTCCCCCCCCACCCCTAATAACTCGCAGCAAGCAAGGTGTGGAATCAGGTGTATCGTTTGGCAATTGTTGACAATTTTTTTGACAGAGAGAAAAGGATACTTTGAGGACATAAGTGCAGGAAGGCAGGGACTTGAGTCCACATAGCCATTATCCTGTGCACGTCACTGTCAATACCAGTGCTAAAAACTTGAGAAGAGGGCCATATCTGTTAATCTCTGAAAACTTTTCTAGGTCTACACTGGCATGAATAATTTTACTATATGGCTACGTTTTTATCTTGTCAAGCAACCAGCAAGTTTAACTTTATCAACTGAAAAAATTGAAAGCTAGATAATTTTGGTACTTAGAAGTACTAATGAAGTTTCACTTTATTCGTCTAGTTCAATTGAAATTTACTCGCGCGAGGGCATTTCTTTGAAGATTAAAATAAAATATAAAAATTTCAAACAACCGATTCAAAATATCACAAAACCTATGTTGGGTTTTGTTTGTTTGAGCAAAGCCACACTGGGATATTTTCTGTGTCTACTACGGGAATCGAACCCCAGATTTTAGCGTTATAAGTCCATAGACTTACCGCTGTTCCACTGGGAGACAGTATGGTCATTTATTTAATTACGTTAACTAATACTGTTCACTATAAGTTTATGATTATTCTGACAAATGCAATGAAATGAAAATTATATAGGAAAAGAGGCATTTGACATTCAGTATGTCGGTAAGCAAAAACAGGAGTTCGAATCCAGTTAGATATCCGATTTAGCTTCTTGAAAAAAAAAATATTGTCACGAATAATAATAATCCTGCTTCCAACAGATATAGCATGCCGAAGGGAATAAAATCCATATAAAAAGCGGTTATTCAAAAAGTACAAAGTAGCTTTGCTTAGTGACTGGACTCATGACTGACTACTCGAACATAAGTTTAACACCAAGATAGCACATTAGTAAATTGTTTTATAAACCTTTCTATAAAAATTATACAGTAAATTATAAGAAATTAGTAAATCAACAAATATACACTAACATTGACTATACATTCAATTTCGTAAACAGTTTTATATGTGTACAAAAACACACACAATTGTTGACATTATATTAACGTAATTCTTTCATCTATTAATTTTTCAAAAGTAACTTGAAAGGTAATTCATCAGAGCGTTCTACCTAGGGTTTGTAAATGGATCGAATATAAAATTATAAATCAATTCAACTTTTATATACTTTAGAATAAGATTCAACTGCTGCTGATTCTAGACTTATGATAATTATTTATACTTTAAAAAGATTACAACAATTTATGAAAAATCTAAAAGAAAAAACTCGAGAATCTATTTTTTTAATAATCGTTGTTGTTCATTGACATGTAAGCCTTCTTACTGTTATGCCCTTTTTATGAATTACTTTCCATTAGTTCTGGAGTTTAGTAGTTGTTTGGAGATTAGAAGAACATATTAATGATACCAGATTATTCTAGCCCAATATATACCAGATGAGTGCAACATCTAAAATAAAATAAAAAGTTAAAATGATATATTTTTTACACCGCATAGGAGTTATTGAAGGAAACTTATTAAAGTTGTAAAGATGAAGCCTAAAACTATTTTTTCGCTAGATATTTAGACTCTAATTTATTTGCCTAAAATCATTTTCAAGAGCAGCTCACAAAATAAAGAGTAAAGAATATAAAGTTTAGCTTTCCGAGTTTTAAGTTCTAAGTAATAAGAAAACAGACTAATGCTAGCTCATTGACTAAATTTATCTCTTGCATATATATTTGTAGATTGCTTTTCACAACTGCAAGAAAAAGCAACATTTTCCAGCTGGTTCTCTCCGTTCTCATCTACTTAACATGCATCACCTGAACCCTGAAAAACAGGTGGCAGATTGGTTTGTTTGTAACATCTGTAAAGAGAAACATGTCCAACTGAATTCACAAACAAATTTCTGACATTTCACGTATATGATATTCCAAACAAGCAACAGTTTAGTTAAAAAAAAACCAAAAACAAACGTAAAATGAATAGATTGTGGTGGTGACCAGGTCTTTGAATGTAATTCCTACACACTAACGTTGGAAAGTCATTTTGAATCAGCTTCTTCTGTCAGTGATACTTACTATAGTCACATGGTTTATGCTTGATTTGATGTTAAGAAAAATATGGATAATGGGCTCAGAATGAAAATGAGAGTAGAGTACATCTTTACTTTATGCACCTTTCTCGTTATCATGTGCTGTTACGCTATGGTTGCTTTTCAGGTTTGTACTACTCTCATAAATCAAGTGTGGGTTCTGATGACAACGTCACTTCATGAAGAACAATGACAACCGAATTCGACAATTTGCGATATTGTCCTTATATATACGTGTAGATTAAAAAACCCTCGTAAATAGATTATCTCCAGTCAAATTAGTCACATAATAATAATGAAAACGGTATCAAGAGGATGAAATATTTGACTTCTGACAAACAAAGGTAACTGTTCGTGGAAAGGAAGATGAAAAGTCAGAGTTTTGTGAAGCGCAGGGTTCAACTAGGAAGTCCCTAATAACATTAAAAAAATGATTGGTGCTAAATACTCTTTAAATAATTCTTTATGAAATGATTAAAAACTAGAGTTGATCATATTCAGCTCTCAAAAAATATGCGGCATGGCCAGGTGGTTAAGGCACTCGACTCGCAATCTGAGGGTCGCGGGTTTGAATCCCCGTCACACCAAACATGCTCGCCCTTTCAGCCGTGGGGGCGTTATAATGTGACGGTCAATCCCACTATTCGTTGG